AAGCAGAACAGAGAGAAACAGACGTTTTCCCATCTCCCAAGTAGTTACTGTTACTATTTTGATTATGTTCTTTCAGCCTTTTTTCCTGTGCACGAAGTTTATCTGTTTATTTGTGAACCTAAGTGCCGTCTGAGTGACTTCGGAATGTAGAGAAGGAAATGGGTTAATGGGGTTCGCCTCAGGTCGTCCTAAGGGTCCTTCTGCACTTTCACTGTTTTCTGTTTTGTGTCAGGACCCTGCTAAGTGCTGCAGGGGAGTGTTAAACACACAGGTGCCTCCATGCAGGTCTCCATGGAAACGTGACCACTGGGAAACAAAAGCAGTATCATGGGGCCAGACGAAGACTGACCAGTCTTTCCGCCCTCTCAGCAAACACTCCATACTGCCACTCCCTCTGCACCCTTCCCTTCATCGTCACGGAGTCACTGAGCGCTGTCATTGGAAGGGACTTTGAGCTCTTGTCGTCCAAATAATAGTGCGTGTGGGCTGAAACCAACAGGACCTACGCGTGTGGAGGGCTGGCTTCTTGTCCCGTACTTTCTGGACCCTCAATGACTTCTTTAAGCTCCCCGTCTTCTGGCAGCCAGGGCTCCCCGCTGCTACCTGACCCTGTCACCCTGGCAGCCCCAAGGACAGAAAACCGGAGGTGGCCGTGCCAAAGCCCTCAACCCCCCCAGGCTTCTTCCGTCCTGCCACAGGGGTGACAAGACATAGGCCAAGGGGAGGAAGCCCCTCTGGCCCGAACGCACCGTGTCGTCCTTGTCTTAGAAAAGCAAAGTCCTATCAGTCCCTCCTTCCCCACAAAACAGCCAGCCGCCCAGCATGGAAAACAAACAAGGAAGCTAGCCGCAGTGGGGGTGCTGCTGCTGCTGTGGGGGCTCCAGCACCAGCACATATTTACAGAGATGGTGCCTTCTAATCCCCCACTGCCAACCGCGAATAACATTTCCTGCCTCTGCCAGCGCATCTCAAATTGCACCATTCGAAAAGCCATCGCTTTCGGTTAAGGAACTGCAGTTTCGGGAACTCCTGTGCTGAACTAGACTAGCGTTAGCTACATTAAATCACCTCACACAGTTATTAGTTATTGATCGTTTCGTGTTCGGACACACGAGATTCCACGGCA